ATAAGCTTGACCCGACCTGATGTTGACCTAAAAATTTGTCTACCCGACCTGAATTTTTCAGGTCAGGTCAGGTCGGGACATAGGTTGACCTGATCTAATTCAGAGCTATACTCTAAACCTTCACCAAAATATGAATTATTTTCAAGCCTTGAACAATAATAATAAAGGCAAAGGCAAGGATACAGACCCTAAGGATAACTCCTTAGATAGTTCTATTCAAACTCAAAAAAATGATACCAATAAGAAACTTGATCAAATTCTTGATATTTTTTTAGGCATGAACAAGTTTCTATTCAAATTCAAAAAAATGATACCAATAAGAAACTTGATCAAATTCTTGATATTTTTTTAGGCATGAACAAGTTATATCAACACTTGAAGCTTGTATTTTAAAATTAGAAAAGTTTCAGGTGACTTCCTCTTCAATGAAACCTGATCTGTTACCTTCCTAACATTAATCTTATCTAATTCTCAATAAAATAACTATTCTTCTTATGTTAATAAACGTTTCAGGATTGCTATTATGTTATCAGACGACAGTGAAGGTTCTGGCCCTAACCTTATTAATATGAAAATGCAATTAATCATTGATAAACAATAAACAAATGTTATAATTACTGAATAAAAAACTCAAATAGATTTCATAATAGATTAACTTATGACATTAAGTGAAAAACTTAATTCACAATAATTGTCACCTCTTCTCTCTTATCTTTATAATGAATTTAAATAATCTTAATAATAATAATAATCATATAATGATCATTCTAAATCACAATTCTATCATTTCAAAAGGATCTCCCACTTTTCATTTGCTACTTATAATGTTAATTCACTTCAAAATGAATCAAAAACCTTTTAATTAATAATACTTTTATTGATTTTAATAAAAATTTCATTGGTCTCACTAAAACTCATCACAAATCAGATCAATTTTACTGATATTCCTATAATCCTAATTTTTGCATCTTTGGAATACTCATATAAATACTTTCACAAGCGTCAGCCTTCTTGTAAAGTGTTTATAGGCAATTTATATTCAATGTATCTTTTTAGATAATAATCATTTTATTTATATCGATTAGGACATACCAAATTTCGTGTTTTCAGTATCTATTTGCATACATCCTAAACTGCTTAATCAAAAAAGATAGACTCAAACTTTACAAAGAAATTTTTAAACATATTAAAGATGATATCAAATCAAATTTCAAAATTATCCTTTTAGGTGACTTTAGCGCTGATTTTAGTACTTATTGGTCTCAATACAATAATAGTTTCCTACTCTATTAGCGATTTGATTTTTATAATAAAATATTTACACTTAATTTTTTAGACCTTTATGCCTTATAAAAACACATTATTCATAAATTATATATAAAAAAACAGTATTTTGAACATATTTTATTCAAAAATCCAGTATTTGTTAGTAATTTAAACATAAATTTATTGTACTTAATTTTAAGTATACATAAATTGTATATTAAATATCAACATATTTTAACTAATATATAAAAATTATACATAATATGATCAATTAATGTATTAAGACATGAAATAAATATCATTAAACAAATACTAGCATTAAAAAATTCTATAAGCCATATTCTTCATCCAATTTCTCATCAAATTTCTTATCTATCACATAATACGTGTTTCTAAGTTGAAAAAAACCTATACAACAATCTATAGCAGATAAATCAATAAATTCATGTGCATCATATTTTTGAAATGAAATAAGCCCTATATTGTCCTCTATAATATTAGCAGCCCAATAAACATATGCTAACATATAAGTTTGCTCTTCAAATTCATAGACCAGATAATATTCAACTTGTCCATAAAATCTTATAATATATATTCAGGTATTTTTCGAGAAAATGAAGCCCATTTGTCTACTTCCATAATTACCTATAAATAGTATTAAATAAATAACAAATAATAAATCTTATATGAATCAGTAACATACCAATACCGAGTAATTAATGCGAGACCAATCATTATTTCGTCTTATCCATTTTGATCCAATTTGATGACCTTCTTTTGTACGTAAATGTCCGTATTTTATACCAAATGAAGCATAATATTATACCAAATATAAGATATATTAGCCATTCTGTGACCAGATGCATATAATTCAAAATAGATTAAAAATTACATTCAATTTTCGACCTTTAACATTGTAAGATACAGAAAAATGTTCTTTAATCTTCCTTAATTCTGACTGACTAAGAGTATTCCTTTTTAAAGGAAAATATAACTTTTCTTCAGTATTAGGTTGAGAATATACAAGGTGATTTGGATAATGTTTGGAGACTTGAGGAGGAAAGATAGTCACATATGCAACTTGGTAATATTTTAGATGATTAAACATTTCCCATATATGTATGTTATTAATTATATTTTTATAAGGATGTAATCATGATCAGGCCAAAGGAAGCAACATTCCACAAATCCTCTCCATAGGAAACTGCCATGTAGCCTAACATGGACCTGTATTTTCTATGCTATCGGCAATATGTAGAAAATAATGAAAGCATAACTTCATTGTACTTAGTCGCCCCTCTAAATTTCGATAATATTCTCTTAAAATAATAGAGTAAATATAGTCATATACTTTGATTAAGATGATAATTAACATTTGTACTAGTTTAAATTGATAATACCACTTACTTTTCATAATAATTATAAAAGGATCAGAATAGAGACTGAATATCGTCAATATCTTTAAGTGTCAATAATAATTTTTGACACAGATGCATGGCTTTAACAAAATTCGCCCATCCCTCGTAATGTTTTTGTGGCATTTTACCTTTTAATAGAGGTAATGAGTACATAATAATCCAGACAGCCCACTCTTCGGCTTTATATCCTTTATAATACAACACAATATTGTGAGGTGAACGTTCAAGATAGGCTGGAAGGCTTTTTTGAGCATAATGCATTTCATTACGATTGTATTCCAAACTTTCGAACTGAGAATATAATCGCCAATGTCTTGACTACTATCATTCCTAAAAAAATTTCCTGTCTACAATTTAAACATATAATATGCTATGTTCTCATATATAAGATGTATTAGATCAATTGGAAAAGAACTAGAAAAACGAGTTGCTTTAAGGTCGAAAAGTATACTACAGCCTCTTATTCCTATTAATAAAATTAACTAAATCATAAAAACATGGTATCGATTAATGAATAGAACAAAATTCAGACAATATTTGTACTTATATTTACCAAATTCTGTTACCAATTTTTTTCTTTCTTTTTCAGTAATTGATTGATTTAATTGAAAAATCTGATCCTTAAATTGTCTATGGGTTCGCAAGGGTAAATTATCAGGGTCATATTTTTGGTATTCATGTTCCTTTTCTGTATGTGGTATAGTTGGAAAATACACATGATTTGAATAAATACCATGAATATTACAAAAATACAAAAACGATACCCTTTATAAGAATTATGGCCAGTTAGATACATAAGTTTTGTTAGTCTCAGAGTATCGCCTGACTATGATAAAACATGAGCACGTAATAGAAAGGATTCTTCTTTTAGTCTATCGTAACAATATATTCCAGCTAGAAGTAATGTTAAAACATACATTAATTATATACAAAAAAAAATATATATATATATATTAAAATTAACGAACATTCTAATTCTTATAATTCTTTAATTATAGGATACATAAACGAATTAAAGCACTTGGGTTCTTTTGGCCCTGGAATGATTGCTATTATTAGAAGATGTTCTTTTTTAACGCGTTCTTTAGGACATATATTGGTGTTGATCATAAGCACTATTCAGCAACCTTCCATCTTTTGTCGAAAAATTTGGTAACTATCAATAGACCCTGTTAATGCAATATCTCTATTGTCTTTGAAATATCCATCGGAAAGAAGTTTTTGGTATCTAACACCATCAAATATATTTCCAATTTTGCCATCTGATCCAAAACCTTGACGGTGAGTATAATTTATACGATATTTCAGCCTTTTGGAACCTTTTGGATCTTAATACTGAATCTTAAGATGGTCTTTAATGGAAAAAAGGCCATCTGACATCGAGAAAGTCATTTTCCCATTGAAGGTCCAGTTTGGAATCTCGATATATGACAATACTCACATAATTCATCATATTTGTATTTTCCTGTATACGCACAACAAGAATTGATACAGATATCCACCCACATAGGCTCTATTGGAACAATTGATTGTAGTGTTTGTTTGACTTGAAATAGACTGACATTACCACCGTTAACTGCCATTATAGTTTGTCAAAATGCATTGTCCGTCAAATTACAACAAGATTTGACCCGGAATAACCTTAGAGTACAAGCCAATTCATCAGATAAGTATAAATGTTCTCCAGGATCTAAATTAATAAAAATATTTAAATAATGTTTCAAACGTACTAATTATATATAATCATTATATTTTATACCTGAAATTTCAGTATGAGATACATCTGAGTCAGAAAATCCATTGGTCCTATTTGAAGATGTTCCACTTGATGATGATTCATAATCTATATGAGACTCATCGAAACATTTTCGACTCTCATCCATATCTTGTATAATCAATATTTCATTGATGTAACTTTCGTCAATGGACGAGTTTTCTGCCTTATCAGATAAACTCGAAGATGCCTCCCCTTTAGATCTTTAAATGTATATTATTGTTAGTAAATATGAGAATATAAGCGACAACCTTATAACAAAGCATACGTAGAAATCATATTATCAGCAAACGATGATCCGGGTAGCTCAACAAGGACAGATGATTTGCTTTTAGAACTAGTAAAAACATCTGAAAGACTTAAAATCGAAGCTGTTTCAGAACTGGAACTAGAAATAGAGTCTACAACCGATAGATTCTCATTGTCTCGTTTACGATGTCTAGTTCTAGTAGACTTTGGAATAAACAATCCAATCCCTCTTTTTGTATCTTTGTGGCAACATTTTGAACAGGTACAAAAAACTTTATTGGATTTATCCATATTGAAAAAAAGAAATTTTTAATAAAAATATATTAATCTATTTAAATTATTTCATGTAACTTTATTATGATTGTAAATTTTAGTAAAAATCATTTTTTTATTTAAAAAAATCACTTTAAATAAATAAATTCACATTGTTTAATTTAAATAGCTAGCTACATGATCAACATCATTAATTTCGAAAAATATGATTGATATAATTAATAATTAAGTTTAACCGGAAATAGATTTTATTTGTAATACAAATTACCTTAAACCAAAAAGAGTTAAAATAAACTTGAACGTTTATTATTTATAAACCACCTTTCAATTTTTAAATTTTTTAAATTCATTGACAAAAATTATAAACATGGCAAAACGTAGAAAAGTTCTAATTCTATTACCTATAAACCTGAAAGTTTTACCAAAGAATATAATTCAGTCTCCCAAAAGTCTGTCAATGAATGTAACTACGACTTCAGCCTTGAAAAATCTAACAATAATAGTGATATATAAACAGGAGTGGACAAAAAAATCTTGGCATCAATTCTAGCTCGCGTTACTGCCTTGGAAAATGAAAACAAGGCATTAAAAGCTAAGGCAAAAAAGAAAGTATTAGTTTCGAGAAGTGAAATAGTGACTTCAAAAATGTCGAAGTCTAATTATAATAAAGGAAAAGGAAAAAGACGTCAAGACTTTAGCTTAGAACGGTCAAGTTCTAAACAAGAGTCAAATGATGCGAGGGTAAAAGATGAATAGCACGATTGCTTTAAATAAGACATAGTATAATTCGACATTGATAATTTTAATTTTTTAAGGATTATGAGTCTAATACCATTAATAAAGATCATGATAATTCATCTGTTACTCTACCGATCCCGAAACCATCTGGAAAATCAAGCAAATTTGTGAATTTGCATTTGAAATTAAATTTGGAGAAGAATATATATGAGAGTTATAGGGTGAATATTATCAAAGTATAATATCAAGTTTAACTATCCTTTAATCGAGCTTTTCTAATCTAGACTGCCTTTTATGAACTCATCGAATGCCATACTCCCATTGGAATTCAATATAAAAACCTTGATAAAAATATTAGAGCTGGAATTATCCGCAAGTTCAAGAAAGCTAATCCTCACTTTCCTGAATGTATTGGTGATTGGGCCTTAGTGCATCTCATGCGTCGCAAAATAAACATTAATCATAAGTATTATACATGATGATGTTAATGATATCAAGTCTTTTAGTATATTTTATTTAATTGATTATATTTTATAGGAGAAATGCTCGTCGCTGAGATAAGAAAGGTGATTTTGAAACTAAAGTCAATTTTTTAAAGTATATGGGATGAGTGCTGGGAAAAAGGACCAAATCGACAAAAAATTTTTTTTTGAAATAACAAATGATCTGAATCAGATGACCAAA